ATTTAGATTACTCTAGTATATATTAGAGCTTTCTATTCTTCTTTAAAATATTCTAGAACCTTCCAGAACTTTCTAGATTTATCTAGTTTTCTCCGAACTTCTTTAATGTTCTGGAATACCATTAAGCACAATACCTCAATTTCAAGCTTTAACAAGAAATTGGTTTGAAACAACTTTCAAAACAAAGAAAAAAAAAGTCAAGAAAGGAGGGAAGTTGCAGAGGTGTTTTAAAGATGAACACAAGTATGGAAAGTAAAAAATAAACACTATTAACTCAAATAGCTAGGTGGCTAAGGCCTAGACCTCCAAATCTATGAGGACCATTACACTGAAAGCATACTATTCAAAGCATAAATGAAGTAACCAGCCTAAAACAGTCCTAAATGAAGCTAAAATAGTGCTGGAATTGAAGTCAAAAAAGCTAAAAAAGTAAGCTACAACATGGAGTAAGTTAAGGTAGTAAGCAAGCACAAGGAATGGAGGCTACCCCCTCCATTTTTTGGACTTCAAAACATTATTTTAGCCTCTAAAAAACTATGAAAACTAGTGGTAAAAAGCTCAAAAAAAGTTAATAACAAGGTGGGAAACACAAGGGTAAAAGCTTATGAAACAAGGTTCAAAGAAGGGTGAACGTAGTGCTTGATCAGAGGCATAAACGTAGTGCTTGATCACTATTCCTCTCTCAAAGAGCTCTCCATCAAGCGCCTCCGTGGCATCAACGACGACAGAGGCGTAGCCGCCGCCGCAGAGCCTACTAGCCCGGGCGTCGCCACTTCGTCTCTAAAAACCATATGCCTCAAGGAGCTCTACAATGGATAGTGCTTTGGACCGCTCATCATTGGAGCGAAGAATCTGAAAACTTTGAAATTGTTGAGGTTCCAGTGAAAATATGTTCCAGAGATAGCCCACTCCATGATCGGTCATCCATGGTGTTCAGGCACTACTACTTTCTGATCAGTCGAAAGATGACGAGGATGAATGTGGGATGCTATGGCCATCCACGATATTTGGACCTACTTGTGATGGAATGGATGTAGTGACGACAAAATATAAGCTACCAGAGCTTCAACTTAATGATTTGATTGTGTTCTACAACATGGGCGCCTATTCAGCCTTTACATGAGCCAAATTCAATGGCTTCGATATATAATCCAGTGACTCTCTCTCTCTCTCTCTATATATATATATATGTATATTGGTTGTTGTTGTTGCTTATTTAGGTGATCGATTTGTGTATTGCACATTGTGATTGGGAAGGCAATCTAGAGAAAATTCAGAGAAAATCTCTAGACTAGAATTCAGAGAATTTCTCTGGCCTTCCTAGATCTAAAAAATTTCTTCATCCTTTCCAGATCTGGGAAAGCTAGAGAAATTCTCTGGATATATGTATATTGGTTGTTGTTGTTGCTTATTTGGATGATCGATTTATGTATTGCACATAGTGATTGAGAAAGATAGATAAATTTTCTAATTTGAACTCAGAAAAATTCTTGCAAAAATCAGAGAAATTCTTTGAAAATCTAGAGAAAATCTCTAGACTAGAATCTACAGAATTTCTCTGGCCGCTGGCCTTCCCATAATTTCTCTAGAAAGAAATTCCCTGATTTTGAGAGAAATTCTCTAGGAAGTGCAGAGAAATTCTTTAAATCGAATTTTTTTTGAATCGATTTTAGAGGTTTTAAACATTATAAAAATATTAAATATCTTTTATGTTATAAAATTTTAATATCAATGACCTTAAAAAAAAAATCATAATTTATATTATATTATGTTTTGTTTTTTTTTTTTTTTTTAAATAATTTCATAATTTATACTATGCTTAGTTGAATGTTTTCCCTTTTTTTTTTTTTTTTTTAATTGGTTCCCGATGTTATTCATTGGTAGTAGCAAAAGAGAAAGCACTCCCATGTGCTGTTTGGCGGGTGGTTTCACGATTATTTGCTTCTTTTCTTTTTTGTAAATAATTTATAAGGATATTTTAAGAAGAAAAAAAAAATAGTCAAACACTTTCGGTATTTTAAAATGATTTAGATTTAGATTTAGATTTTTAGATTTAGATTTAGATAATTTCTAGTTTATTTAAAAATTTCAGAAAAGAAATTCTCTAAATAAACTAAACATGTTTTTATTTTTTAATTTTTGATTTTTTTAATAAATGAAATTAAGGGGTCGTTTGGTTTTTATTTTGGACTAAAAAATCACAAAATAATAAAAAAAGTAAAAAAATCACAAAAGAACAAAATAAGCAAAAAGACAAAAAAAATAAACAATTTTAAAGCCAAAAAGTTAAATAAAAATATCAAACGATTAAAAAAGTTACATGCTAAAAAAATTAAAAAAATTAAAAAATTAACGAAAAAAATCATTATCAAACGAGCATTCAAACAACAATTTTATCAACTACCATTAAATTGATTTTACATTATTTCATCTGCCCATTTATTTGCTGCCTTGTCAGAAGTCAATAGCGAATGGACATTTTGATATTTTGGCCTTGATGTTGATTTGATATTTTGGCCTTGATATTGTATTTTTTTTCTTTTTTTATTGAATGTCATGCTATTAGTGATCTTTTTAGAATTTTAAAATTAATGATCTCTATCATTGTTGTTTGAAAATACATTGGACAGTACCATTGAATCAAGGTGGGGTCGACTTTAGGGTCATTTTAATTCAATTCGTAAAAGTTATCAAGTATATTGGTTTTATTTGGTTTGTTTTTCAAAAAAATTTTGAAATTTTTTTTTATAAATAAATTTTCAAGAGTAATTAAATTAAATAAATTTTTTTAAAAAAAATCTCAAAATTTTATTTGGTTACCTACTTTTCAAAATCACTCTCTCTCATAAACATCAAATCAATCGTTTTTTTTAAAACTTTCTCTCCAAAACAATTTTCCAAAATTATTTCTGAAAAAAGACAAATCAAACAAGTTTTCGTACCTTTTATCTAAAAAATTACTCTACAAACACAAACCAAACATTGTAAAATGTTATATTAATTATATATTGATAGTCATTTAATTAATTTATATTTGTTCTTTTAATTTATTTTTAAAATTATAAAAAACAACTGCAAGCTGATCAAATAATTATCGATATTTGATTAACGTAATTTTTTAAAGAATGATATATTTGAAGAATTGTACACATTAAATAATTTAGATCAGTAGGAGAAGCTTGAAATCGTACTCATCACAACCCAACAATACCATCTAATTTGATTCTGGATTGAAAGAAACTGTTACCCAATAATAATACGTGCAGCATTGGTTGGCCATTAATTTTGCTGTTGATTTTAGTGATATGATTTGCTTTTTCAAATTTGTTGCGTAAAAATAAAAAATAAAATAAAGTTCACTTTATAAACTTTTTTTTTTTTTCTACGTTTAATGATATATAAGTGATGGTTCATATCCTCTAGGCAAGCCGCAGAAGATTGAATAGGGTTCCTCATTGAACACCAACAAAGAAGCCTAAAAAATGTGATTTATTAAACACTGTCAATCAGAACTGAATTTTCCATTTGCAATTGTAATTGTGATAATCATTGGATGAGATTCTAAACCTGAAGATATTGTTGCACTGGTGGCCATAGAGTCTTCAATTTGGCCTTGCGTTATGCCTTGGGTTTTGGAGTTAGTGTGTTTAGGGAGAAAGTGTGAAGTTACAACGGAGGTTGGGTGACTGGAGAGAGAAGGGAAATCGGAAGAAGAGCAGTGGTTTAATTAGTTTTCGTAAATAACTGATTTACGGCTTATCTTTGAATAATTTAATTTTATAAGTCATATGATTAGTTGATAATTAAAAAAAAATATGAGACAGAGTATTACTTTAAATATCCTAATTAATTATCACATCATTAGGCTTAAAAAATGAGTCTAATTTTTGGGATTGAATATCAATGCTCATAGAAAATTTATGTAAAAAATTGATCAAACATTGATGGTTATATGTTTAAATCATATTTATTTTTAAAAAATGTATGATAATTATTTTTTCAATAATAACTATTCATTTTTGTAATACAAATATAATTCAAACGCATATTTATCAATATTCGATTATTTTAATTTTTTTTATGAATATTCTATTTAACGAATACTAAACGGTAAATAGTTTGAATCATAGAGGTCGGCTCTAAAATTAGCTCACCAATTCCAAAATTTGTATAAAAAAAAGAAATGTTAGAGATCTAAAATAAATTATTCAATCTGTTCTAAAATATTAGTCTCTTATTCTATTTTTCATTGTCTCAAAATATTAGTCCATTTAACATGAATTTTTTATTTTTTCATTCTTTTAAATTTATTAATTATGACAATTGATGTTCTAAATGAAAGGTAGTTTTAAAAAATTAATCAGCTTGTTTGGTTTTAGTTTTCAGAAAACACTTTTAAGAAAATTTTATTTTTTTATTTTTCTTTTTTTTTTCAATGAATTTTTTTAATATTTTAAGCAATTTTTTTAATTATTAGACACACCTAATATAAATACATTTAAAAAGTATAATATTTGTAAAAAAATCGTTAAAAAATTCACTAAATACCAAAAATACAAAAAAAAAAAACTAAAATTCAATACATTTTTTTATATTTTTGTGTATTTATTAATTTTTAAAAATATTTTTTCACAAATATCTTACTATTTAGATACATCCAAGTAAAGTACATTTAAAAAAGTAAAAAAATTGCTTAAAATTTTAAAAATATTCACTAAATCCAAAAAAAATGAAAAATAAAAAATTCAATTTTAAAAAAATTAAAACCAAATACAGTGAATATTTTTGAATTGTAGCAATTGCACTATTAAAAAAAATTATATTCTCTAAAAAAGGCTATTATTTTAAAAAGGAAAAAATATTAAATTTTCTACGGAATTTTCTACGAAAAAATATTAAATTTTAAAAAGGAATATTCACTTAAATTATAAAATATTTGATAATTCAATTGGTTGCTAGCATGGTTCTATAAATATTACTCGACTTGGTTCCAAACTTATTCCACAACCCATTGAATTGTTGAGGCAACTATAGTAGATATGGAGCTCTTCTTCCTCTCCCTCCTCTGCCTCTTTCTTCTCTTTCTCTTACTCCCACTGAGCTTGCACTTCCTCTTCTACAAATCCAACTCCAAAAACCTCACTCTCCCGCCGGGCTCCACCGGGTGGCCGTTGATCGGCGAGACCCTCGAGTTCCTGGCCACCGGCTGGAGAGGTCACCCGGAAAAATTCGTATTAGACCGCATATCCAAGTACTCATCCTACGCCTTCAAGACAAATCTTCTAGGCTCCCCAACAGTCGTGTTCGCCGGTGCAGCCGGTAACAAGTTCTTATTCTCCAACGAGAACAGGCTCGTCCAAGCATGGTGGCCTAGCTCCGTCGACAAAATCTTCCCATCCTCAACCCAAACCTCTTCTAAACAAGAAGCAATCATTCTCAGAAAAATGCTCCCAAACTTCCTCAAACCCGAAGCTTTACAACAATATATTGGTGTCATGGATACCATTTCACAGCGACACTTCGATTCCGATTGGGTTGGCAGCGAAGTGGTGGTTTTCCCTCTCACCAAGCGATACACATTTTGGTTGGCTTGTCGCTTGTTTATCAACATCGATGATCCGAACCACGTCGCTAAATTCGCCCATCCTTTTGGGATTTTGGCTGCTGGAATTTTTTCCATCCCTATTGATTTGCCTGGAACACCGCTCCGGCGAGCTATCAAGGCCTCGGAGTTTATTAGGAAGGAGCTTTTGGCGATTATTAAGCAGAGAAAGGTTGATTTGGGAGATGGAAAGGCTTCGCTGACACAAGATATATTGTCACATATGCTTGTGACGAGTGATGAAAATGGAAATTTCATGAAAGAGGCTGAGATTGCTAATAAAATCTTGAGTTTGTTGATTGGTGGCCACGACACTGCTAGCTCCGTCTGCGCTTCCGTTGTCATGTTTCTTGCGGAGCTTCCTCATGTTTATCAACGAGTGTACGAGGGTACGTATCTATGCATGCATATTTATTCTATTCTATAAGCACGTACAGTTTTGGATTCTCTCGGGCACTTTTTTAATACCACAATTCAATGTTGGTTTATTGTCACCCAGGTCAAATAGGTTATTTTAGTAATTTTTTTAATTTTTTACAAAAAGATATTCCAAAAAATAAAACAAGTGAAATAATAATTTATAGTGATTTTTTTGACTAAAACTGAAAGTTGCCAAATGAGACCTTATTTGTGGCCTTTGAATTACTTGCTACATGATATTATGAAGAACAACAATGATTCATCCCCCCTTTTCCTCCCACCCCCTTTGACCCCCTCTCTCTCTCATTGGTTACATTTCTTTTTTCTTTTTCTTTTTTTTCTTGTTCCTCCAATCACCACCCGCCACGTGGCAAAGGGGGGTGAGGGGGAAGATATTCCAAAAAATAAAACAAGTGAAATAATAATTTATAGTGATTTTTTTGACTAAAACTGAAAGTTGCCAAATGAGACCTTATTTGTGGCCTTTGAATTACTTGCTAGATGATATTATGAAGAAAGTGTTAATGGTGTTCTAAATATCAGCCGATACTTATTAATATTTGAGATCTCTAATACTCGTTATATATTTATTGCTATATTGGTTGATACAGTCCGATATTTTTAGTCATATCACTAATAGCCATACGTTATCTAATATTGCTATTTAGAAAAAGAAATAAATAAATAAGTATACTATTTTTGAAAACATACTTGCTAGTTAAAGTACTTGAAATTTGAAATCTTAAAGTGATAAGGATAAATTTTAACATATATAGTCCAAAATGACCTTATAATCCAAAAAATCTTAGTCTTTTTTGTTGTATCTCTCCTAATGTTGTTTCTCTCTTCTGTGAGCTTTTACATTATTTAAGTGATTTCAAACTTTAAAATTTAATAATTTTTTATTACATCTTTAGAATCCTATTTGAAATTTCATTGACCTACGTAAAATTTCACTAAATTAAAATTTCACCGGCTAACCAAAATTTTACCATTGACTTGGTCATCAAAATTTTATTGACCAACCAAAATCTCACTATTTTAGACTGACTAGGTCAACGAAATTTTACTGACCAACCAAAATTTTATTGACCTATCTTAGGTTAGTAAAATTTCATCACCTTTTCTTTTTATAATTTTGTATTCATCATGCATCTTATTTCATAGATCTTAATGAAATGATTTCAAAATTACAAAAAACACTACAAGAAAATGCATTTTTGGCGACTAAAGTTTTAGTCGCCAAAAGTAAGATTTTTAGTCGCCGAAGCCTTTTCCCGACTAAATATTTTGGTCGCTAGATTTGTCGCGGGAACACGGTCGGGGAAGGTTTTGGCGACTAAAAAAAATTTAGTCGCCAAAAGTCCTATAAATGGCTACTAATGTTTTAGTAGGGAAAAGTACGAGGTATTGGCGACTAAATATTTTTTAGTAGCCAAAAGTCATAAATTGGCGACTAAATATTTAGTCGCCAAAAGTTTTCAAATAAAATTAATTTTTATTTTCAGCGACGCCCAAAGTATCATTTATTATTAGCTACTAAATATTTAGTCGCCAAAAAAAATTAATTTTCATTTTTTTTTTAGCTACTAAACTATTTAGTCACCTAAAGCCTCATATATTTTTTACTACTAAATTTTTAGTCGCCAAAAAATCTTTAGTTTGTTTTTGGCTACTAAATTTTTAGTAGCCAACAAGTTTTATTTAGTTTTTTTGGCTACTAAACATTTAGTCACTAAAAACTTTATTTAGTGTTATTTTTTTTTTATTATTATTATTAATTTCTGCACAATCTGTATTTATTTCGTGCAACCTGCACCCTGTATATAAACAAAACAATACATATGTTTATTTCTATTTCACTTTCAACCATCCAAAAATTTGGTCTTGTAACATCAAATTCTATACAAACTAAATATAATCCAACCCAAAATAATAATTCCATACAAATAGATAATCATACAAAAATGATGTCCTCCGTATACAAAAAAGAAATATCCACTTTGTGAACTGTAGAAGTGAAACATAATCCACATCTGATTCACAAATCATTTTACTGTAGACAACAAATACCATAGGCCTGCTAATTTTCATATCACAACTACCAATCTATCATCCCAATGAGTAAATCAACGGAGAAAAAACACTAATAAAAAGCACAAAAGACTTAAAGGCAGAAACCATGTGGAATCTTTAATCACATCTGATTCACAAATCATTTTACTGTAGACAACAAATACCATAGGCCTGCTAATTTTCATATCACAACTACCAATCTATCATCCCAATGAGTAAATCAACTGAGAAAAAACACTAATAAAAAGCACAAAAGACTTAAAGGCAGAAACCATGTGGAATCTTTAATCAATCTTTTAATAAAGCCGAAGGATGGAGGAAACAGATAAAAGCACATAATAATCTCTTCCCGCTGCAACAACACCAACCCATTTTGGTTTCTGTCAATAGGTCCTCAAAACACAGCAGAGCACACCCTGCAAAGAATTAAATGACAAGTCAAAAAACAAATTATATCACTACTACCAAAGTAGCAAATTTTAATTCATTTGATGTAATATTATATATATATATATATATATATATATATGTTTATGCTAATAGCATAGACACAAGATGAATAATAATAATAATTTCTCACTCGCTCAAATATGTATTTATTGTAAGTATTTTATCCTCAAGTATCTGTGTATGTCACTGTGGTTAGGAGGTATAACCAATAATTAATTCCTATGTATTGATGCAAAAGTTGTGGCTATGAAGTAATTCGATTTGTGTTTTTCATACAAGGAATAATTTGGGTAAGCAAACCCAAGGTTCAACAAGCCTGACTGGACATGACTAGATTATCTCCTGAAGATAGAATTCTAGAATGTACATCAGGAATTGTGTATGTACGTGAAGCATTTACTTGTCAAAAGTACTCTATTATTTATTTGGAATTACATTTTGTTAAAAATATGGTTAATAGGCGTGGAGGCCCTTTTTGCCTTAAACTAATTAATCGAGAGTTTAACGGAGAAATGAGTCGCATCGATCTATATCTACCCAAAAACAAAAAAAATCAATAATATCACCTCATCTACTATTGTCAGCCAGAGAGCTTAAATGATGTTTAATATACAAATAAAACCATATAAATACTTTAGTTAAGAAGTCAAAAAAATTATTATAAATTATCATATCACTTTTTTTATTTTTCTATATTTTTCTTCATAAAAAAATTAAAAAATTATTAAAAGAGCATGTATCCTTCAAAAATCACCTCTATAATAGGAGGTTTCTTCCACCCCTAAGCTTATCCAAAACTATAGTTGAGTTGTTTATTGACCACAGTTGATCTTTGCTTCATGGCCAAGTTCATCTTTCCAAATGCACCAATATCTTCTGTTTCACCAAGTGGCTATGCTATATAAGCATTGGGTGGGCCAATTTTACATGCGTTGATTAATGGAAAATTTATCTATAAATTTCATATTAAGAAATGGTGATTCGTTTATATAGACCAATTAATCCTATTGATGATGAAAATATATATTTATTAAATTATTTAAAAATTAGATTTACGGTAATGAGAGGGTAATTTATGTGAAAATTGGACCGAGCTAGGTAATGGGCCGTTATGAGCCACAGTACAAAGGGCCGAGTGAAATGGCCATGTAAGGTACTCCGGTCGTGCGGATATTTTGAAGTTAGTCCGGTCCTAAGGCCGTGAAGCTAGTCCGGTCCGGTAGAAGATCGAAGTTAGGTCGGTCTAACGGTACATTGGAATTAGACCGGTCTTGGAGTTACACCGGTCATGACATGTTAGTTCGGCCTAAACCACGCCATGGGTTGTGCAGGAGAAGCCGATGTAAGAGCAATAAAAGGAAGAGCTAGTTCGGCTTATTCTGCGGCTATGCATAGTCATATTTACTTTGGTCATATTGGAGTTCGGCCATGATAAAACCGTCTCACTTGGTTTAAATAGTGAGGGGGGTGTAGAAGGATAAGCATTATCTTTCAGGAGTATGAATCTTAGGGGGACTCTGCATGGAGAAGTAAAAGTCCTACTAGGATTGTGCCACACGAAACCTATAAAAGCTCACAAACATCACCTTTGAAGAGGTAACACACAACTTTGTTTTCTAAATACACAGAGCTTTTGTCTATTTGTCAAGTTTACTGACTTAGGCATCGGAGAGGTTTCCGGTACACACCCGCTGGCTAGCTCACGTTTGTGTTTTCAGGTGATAAAGCGACGACGTACAGAGGAGCGCAGACTTGATCAACAGGATTATACGAGAAGGTTTATTTCTTTCCCGTACAATTGGCGCCGTCTGTGGGAAGAATAGACAGGACGAAACCTCTTGATCAAGCTTTACCTCTTTAGGAACAATGGCACATATTGAAGAATTGCCACAATCCGCCATCGACGGGCAAACTCCAGATGGGGGTGCAAGGCGTGAAGGATTACCTTCTATCCCTTCCATGGCGGACTTGGAGTCCCAACGACATAACACCAGGAGGGATACTAGGGGGAGGCGGACTAACAGCCCCCGTCACTCTCGTTCGCAAAGTCCTGACAGGCGAAGGCGAAGGATTGATCCTTAAGCTCTGGAAGACCGCGTGAAGGAGCAAGATGAATTAATAAGAAAGATGGCGGTGGACATGGAGGCATTGAAGCGCCAGATGAAGAAGAAAGAAGTGGCGACAGGAGAGGGGCGCAAAAACAAGACGCCCCCTCGCCACTCAGAAAATCGTAGTAGGAATACCACACCCTCGCAAGGAGAGAGCAGAAGCCTCAGGACAGGCAATACTCAATCCAGGTCTTCCAGAACTCGTCACTCCAGGTCTGAGAGGACGAGATCTGAAAGATCATACACTGAAGGAAGCACGTATTGGCCCTCACATACGCACCAAACCAGATCTAGACAGACGGAGTTACCCAGATCATCCGACTTACGACCGTGCTCGAAGAAAAGGCACGATGCAAGGAGGATGCTAGGGCACGGGATCCACACAGAGTTTCTGCCTTATAGCGGTTGGTTCCTCGGACGCATGGAAGCATCGAGGTTGGAATGCCAATACCGCACCTTGCCTACGAACCAACGGACAAAGCA